AGAGTATATTTCGATGTGAAATTACTTCTTTGTTGCAGACGCAGTTTTTGCCTTTGGCTTCTTGGCAGCAGCTTTTTTTGGCGACGCAGCCGCGACAACCTTCTTAGGCTTAGCACTGGTGGTCTTAGGTTTGGGAGTTTTTGGCTTTGCTGCGCTTGACTTTGCCTTTGCTGTTGTGGGCTTGGCTTTAATAGTACCAACTTTCTTTGCATCTTTGGCCTTCGCTTTTTCAGCTTTCTTCTTGTCAACACTCTTTTTGGTCACCACAGCCTTCGACAACTTCTTATCAGCGACACCCTTTGGTTTCTTGGTAGCAGATATAGTTTTCTTTTTAGCTGCTGCTGCCGACGAAGTTACCTTCTTGGATTTCTTCTCTACAGAGGACACCTTAGGCTTAGGCTCCTTTTTGGAAGATGCAGACAACTTAAACGAACCAGATGCACCCTTGCCCTTTGTTTGAATCAACTTTCCATTCGCAACTGAATTCTTCAGGTACTTCTTAATGAATGGGGCTAGTTTTTGGGCATCGCACTTGTAAGTGGCACTGATATATTTCTTTATAGCCAAAAGGGATGAGCCACCACGTTCCTTTAAATTTTGTATCGATGCGTCCACCATCTGCTGAGTTGGTGGGTGTGTTGGAGGAGCCGTTGTTTTCTTTGCCTTCGATGCGGATGCTGGCTTTTTAGCAGCTACCTTCTTCTCAGCTGAGGCTGTTTGGGGAGTCACGGGAGACGCAGATACTGCAACAACGGAATCAGACATTTTTATTCAGCACTTCTTTACTTCTTCACTATAAAAACAAATGCAACGTTTTTGTTTAATCGAAATTTGCCAGCTGCGGCATGGCATTTTGGTCACCCGTTTCAGTGAGAATCGAGGAGGAAGGCTACGCGAGAATGTTTTTGCTATTGAACGTTCGTTACACAGAAGTTTACAATTACCATTTTATTGATTTGTCTTTTTAAACAGTTTATACATGGAATTTAAACTAAATAGTTTGTTGAACATATTCCAAAATGTTTGAAAAATTGAAAAAATAAGTTTTCAGTTTGTTAAATATGATTTAACGATTTTTAATTGCCATCTAAAGTTTGACTTTGTATGATAGCAAAATAAGATATCTTGGAAAAATCGCATTTTTAATTAAATAATAATGAAAATGTTAACAAATTATGTTGACAGATAATAATTCATTAATTTTTTTGTTAAATTCAACTATTAATATGAACATTCCTTATATCTTTATCTTTTAAATGCGATTTTAACTAACCCATTTGGTGTTGAAAGCAGACTTGCATTCGAGGCAACGCAATACAAAAATGGTTTGTAAAAATAAAATCTTCTCCTTAACAATAAATATATGTTAATAAAGATAATATTAGAAGAAAAATGTTTTATTTTCTTTACTTGCATCAAACATATAGTCATTTCATATCGTAATATTATATATATAATGCGATATACACTTCTCCCTCACCAAGAAATACAGTGATAAAATATTTTTTCATCTAAGCCACTTTATTTTATTAAGAAGAATGCTAAAATGTTTAAAAACTAATATAGTTTTATCTTCAATAGGAAGTGCTTATAAAAATAAAAGGAAAATCTCAGAAAAGAAATATATTATCTTAAGTTACATCAAACGTATCACACATTAACGATAGATACGTTCACATTCGATATTCGCTTTAAAAATACACATTTTTTTATTAAGCAAGAAACGTTTCCCTTTAACAAAAATATATTGAGATCCTTGCTCAATTACTTGACTAGGACTAGGACTAGTTAGTGAAAATAAACGCGTGTACCTTCAATTATAAAACACATTTGCTCTAACCTACATTTTATTATGTAAATATAAACCTATATACTCGTTTCCTTTATTTTTATATCAACTCAAATTCAAAATGATTGTCGTTTAAACGAAAATAGGAATCTCCTTGTTATAAATATTGTGGTCCTGAAAAGGACCGATTTGTTGGGTGCGATTTGTATATGTACAAGGCAGAGAGAAGAAATTTAAGCGCGCTCGCCGCGAATACGTCTGGCCAGTTGAATGTCCTTGGGCATGATTGTGACACGCTTAGCATGGATGGCACACAAGTTTGTATCTTCGAATAGGCCAACCAAATAGGCTTCGCTAGCTTCCTGGAGTGCCATCACAGCTGAGCTCTGGAAACGAAGGTCAGTCTTGAAGTCTTGAGCGATTTCACGCACTAGACGCTGGAACGGCAACTTGCGAATAAGCAATTCAGTGCTCTTCTGGTAGCGACGAATTTCACGCAGAGCAACAGTGCCAGGGCGATAGCGATGAGGTTTCTTGACACCGCCAGTAGCTGGTGCACTTTTACGTGCTGCCTTAGTGGCCAACTGCTTGCGAGGAGCCTTGCCTCCAGTTGATTTGCGAGCGGTCTGCTTTGTACGAGCCATTTTTTTCTCTCTTTCACAATTCTTACTTTACACTGTCACTGTTAAAAACACAATAATCGAGATGCTCGCTTACGCATCGCTTATATAGAAAACTGGTGGTGAGTTAGAAAGAGATAGACATATTCGTTACTCATGTTAAATGCTATGCGCTCTACTCTACAAGTTGAGAGGGTAGTGTGTGAGAGGGATGCAAGCATTTGTGTGCTCCCTCGTGTTTTCGGGTTTCTCGGTATAAATAGAAGTGGATGTAACGATGCAGACATTAGTTTGTTTCTGACATTCGTGAAGTGTTCATTAAAAAGTAAAAAGTGAAAAATGACTGGTCGTGGTAAAGGTGGCAAAGGCTTGGGTAAAGGAGGTGCAAAGCGTCATCGCAAAGTGTTGCGTGATAATATCCAGGGTATCACGAAGCCAGCTATCCGTCGTTTAGCTCGTCGTGGTGGCGTGAAGCGAATCTCTGGACTTATCTATGAAGAAACTCGTGGCGTTCTTAAGGTCTTTTTGGAAAATGTTATTCGTGATGCTGTCACATACACCGAACACGCCAAGAGGAAGACAGTCACAGCCATGGATGTTGTCTATGCGCTGAAAAGGCAAGGTCGCACACTGTACGGCTTTGGCGGTTAGGAAAGAAGAAAGTATAAAAAGCAACTTACACTCGCACCAATCGGTCCTTTTCAGGACCACCATCATGTTTCCCTAAAAGAGCTTGAAAATATAAAATTCAATATACATTTTTCGCAAACCAAATCGGTATTGGGCATATATTTAGCTGATGTTCAGTATTGGCTACGAAATGATCGAGAAATTGAATTAATTCCGTCTAGTTAAACCATTTGGTTTCGACATTTATGAAAAATTTGAAGCTATCAAAAAGAAGTATTGTGCATATTTCATATTCGAATAAGAATTCGATGTTACAGAAATCTTAGCTAAGCTGCGGTGAAAACTCGCGTGTATTTCAAGGGTACATTGCCAAATTTATAGTTTACATATCAGCAATATTAGCAATATTTCAGCTCAACATATTTGAAACCTTTGGAATATGGAACAGAAACACTAAATGACTAAATGAATGGCGATGACTGTACTTTTCTCAGCGTCTACCATCTGTAAATTTTCCCTTTATTTATTCTTATTATATACATATTATTTAGAATGTTTACGTATGAAAAAAGTCATCTCTTTTGTATAAATTGGTCGTCCTGAAAAGGACGTTTGGTTTCGATTTGCGTAAATTCGTTATTAGTAATTTAAGCCTTCTTTTCGGTCTTCTTGGGCAACAAAACTGCTTGGATGTTAGGCAACACACCGCCCTGGGCAATAGTGACGCCTGAAAGCAGTTTATTCAACTCCTCATCGTTGCGGATGGCCAATTGCAGATGGCGAGGGATAATTCTGGTTTTCTTGTTATCGCGGGCTGCATTACCAGCCAACTCCAAAACTTCAGCGGCCAAGTATTCCATAACAGCCGCCAAGTACACTGGAGCACCGGCACCAACACGCTCGGCATAGTTGCCTTTGCGAAGAAGACGGTGAATACGACCAACGGGGAACTGAAGGCCAGCGCGGTTCGAACGCGACTTTGCCTTTCCCTTAACTTTTCCACCTTTACCACGGCCAGACATTTCTTAAATTCTTTTTTTTTTCACTTTAACACTGCACAAACAAGTATCGAATGCCCAGCCCTCTCAACAATATGACAACTTATACTTTTTTCACTACCTACTTTTTCAGGTAAACGAGGGTGAGTTGTGCTGTTCGCAAACATGAAAACGTTGTACAAAAAAAACCTATAAATGTTAAGCAATTTGTGTGCTTCTGTCAAACATTTGTGAAGTGAGTTAAAGTGAACTTGAGTGAATAATAACAATCATGCCGCCTAAGACAAGTGGAAAGGCAGCCAAAAAGGCTGGCAAAGCCCAGAAGAATATTACCAAGAATGATAAGAAGAAGAAGCGTAAGAGGAAGGAAAGCTACGCCATCTACATTTACAAAGTGCTAAAGCAGGTCCATCCTGACACTGGAATCTCGTCAAAGGCCATGAGCATCATGAATAGCTTTGTGAACGACATTTTTGAGCGTACGCTGTCAGTGAAGGAACAAAGGCAGTTACCAAGTACACTAGCTCCAAGTAAATCTTAGCTTGATGTATGCAGAACACCCAAAAGCAAAAGGCCCTTTTCAGGGCCACAAATCTTTTTTCAAAGAATATGAAATATTTCCATGCTAACAAAATTTCTGATTCTGATTCTGAATAGATTACCTTTAATTCTTATTGTATAAAACTTACTGAAGCAAATATATTTGCTTGCTATTCAAGAAAAACTATAAAATTATCGTTACTCCACAAATATCCCACTACAATTTCCTACGTTTTTATTATGATAAAGTTGGACACGTAAAAACTATTTGACGAAAACAGAAATTAACATCGAATATATTTCAAATATTGCTGCTGACTAAATAGGATCCGTTTCTTTTTATATTACTTTTAACAGCAACAAGAAAGATACAGGTAGAAAAATATTTTTTTTTCTCTTGGATATATAAAATTGTAGTCCTGAAAAGGACTTTGTTTAATAGCAAATTTCATAGTTTTGAAATTTGTTCATACTCTGTCTGAAGAGTATATTTCGATGTGAAATTACTTCTTTGTTGCAGACGCAGTTTTTGCCTTTGGCTTCTTGGCAGCAGCTTTTTTTGGCGACGCAGCCGCGACAACCTTCTTAGGCTTAGCACTGGTGGTCTTAGGTTTGGGAGTTTTTGGCTTTGCTGCGCTTGACTTTGCCTTTGCTGTTGTGGGCTTGGCTTTAATAGTACCAACTTTCTTTGCATCTTTGGCCTTCGCTTTTTCAGCTTTCTTCTTGTCAACACTCTTTTTGGTCACCACAGCCTTCGACAACTTCTTATCAGCGACACCCTTTGGTTTCTTGGTAGCAGATATAGTTTTCTTTTTAGCTGCTGCTGCCGACGAAGTTACCTTCTTGGATTTCTTCTCTACAGAGGACACCTTAGGCTTAGGCTCCTTTTTGGAAGATGCAGACAACTTAAACGAACCAGATGCACCCTTGCCCTTTGTTTGAATCAACTTTCCATTCGCAACTGAATTCTTCAGGTACTTCTTAATGAATGGGGCTAGTTTTTGGGCATCGCACTTGTAAGTGGCACTGATATATTTCTTTATAGCCAAAAGGGATGAGCCACCACGTTCCTTTAAATTTTGTATCGATGCGTCCACCATCTGCTGAGTTGGTGGGTGTGTTGGAGGAGCCGTTGTTTTCTTTGCCTTCGATGCGGATGCGGATGCTGGCTTTTTAGCAGCTACCTTCTTCTCAGCTGAGGCTGTTTGGGGAGTCACGGGAGACGCAGATACTGCAACAACGGAATCAGACATTTTTATTCAGCACTTCTTTACTTCTTCACTATAAAAACAAATGCAACGTTTTTGTTTAATCGAAATTTGCCAGCTGCGGCATGGCATTTTGGTCACCCGTTTCAGTGAGAATCGAGGAGGAAGGCTACGCGAGAATGTTTTTGGTATTGAACGTTCGTTACACAGAAGTTTACAATTACCATTTTATTGATTTGTCTTTTTAAACAGTTTATACATGGAATTTAAACTAAATAGTTTATTGAACATATTCCAAAATGTTTGAAAAATTGAAAAAATAAGTTTTCAGTTTGTTAAATATGATTTAACGATTTTTAATTGCCATCTAAAGTTTGACTTTGTATGATAGCAAAATAAGATATCTTGGAAAAATCGCATTTTTAATTAAATAATAATGAAAATGTTAACAAATTATGTTGACAGATAATAATTCATTAATTTTTTTGTTAAATTCAACTATTAATATGAACATTCCTTATATCTTTATCTTTTAAATGCGATTTTAACTAACCCATTTGGTGTTGAAAGCAGACTTGCATTCGAGGCAACGCAATACAAAAATGGTTTGTAAAAATAAAATCTTCTCCTTAACAATAAATATATGTTAATAAAGATAATATTAGAAGAAAAATGTTTTATTTTCTTTACTTGCATCAAACATATAGTCATTTCATATCGTAATATTATATATATAATGCGATATACACTTCTCCCTCACCAAGAAATACAGTGATAAAATATTTTTTCATCTAAGCCACTTTATTTTATTAAGAAGAATGCTAAAATGTTTAAAAACTAATATAGTTTGATCTTCAATAGGAAGTGCTTATAAAAATAAAAGGAAAATCTCAGAAAAGAAATATATTATCTTAAGTTACATCAAACGTATCACACATTAACGATAGATACGTTCACATTCGATATTCGCTTTAAAAATACACATTTTTTTGTTAAGCAAGAAACGTTTCCCTTTAACAAAAATATATTGAGATCCTTACTCAATTACTTGACTAGGACTAGGACTAGTTAGTGAAAATAAACGCGTGTACCTTCAATTATAAAACACATTTGCTCTAACCTACATTTTATTATGTAAATATAAACCTATATACTCGTTTCCTTTATTTTTATATCAACTCAAATTCAAAATGATTGTCGTTTAAACGAAAATAGGAATCTCCTTGTTATAAATATTGTGGTCCTGAAAAGGACCGATTTGTTGGGTGCGATTTGTATATGTACAAGGCAGAGAGAAGAAATTTAAGCGCGCTCGCCGCGAATACGTCTGGCCAGTTGAATGTCCTTGGGCATGATTGTGACACGCTTAGCATGGATGGCACACAAGTTTGTATCTTCGAATAGGCCAACCAAATAGGCTTCGCTAGCTTCCTGGAGTGCCATCACAGCTGAGCTCTGGAAACGAAGGTCAGTCTTGAAGTCTTGAGCGATTTCACGCACTAGACGCTGGAACGGCAACTTGCGAATAAGCAATTCAGTGCTCTTCTGGTAGCGACGAATTTCACGCAGAGCAACAGTGCCAGGGCGATAGCGATGAGGTTTCTTGACACCGCCAGTAGCTGGTGCACTTTTACGTGCTGCCTTAGTGGCCAACTGCTTGCGAGGAGCCTTGCCTCCAGTTGATTTGCGAGCGGTCTGCTTTGTACGAGCCATTTTTTTCTCTCTTTCACAATTCTTACTTTACACTGTCACTGTTAAAAACACAATAATCGAGATGCTCGCTTACGCATCGCTTATATAGAAAACTGGTGGTGAGTTAGAAAGAGATAGACATATTCGTTACTCATGTTAAATGCTATGCGCTCTACTCTACAAGTTGAGAGGGTAGTGTGTGAGAGGGATGCAAGCATTTGTGTGCTCCCTCGTGTTTTCGGGTTTCTCGGTATAAATAGAAGTGGATGTAACGATGCAGACATTAGTTTGTTTCTGACATTCGTGAAGTGTTCATTAAAAAGTAAAAAGTGAAAAATGACTGGTCGTGGTAAAGGTGGCAAAGGCTTGGGTAAAGGAGGTGCAAAGCGTCATCGCAAAGTGTTGCGTGATAATATCCAGGGTATCACGAAGCCAGCTATCCGTCGTTTAGCTCGTCGTGGTGGCGTGAAGCGAATCTCTGGACTTATCTATGAAGAAACTCGTGGCGTTCTTAAGGTCTTTTTGGAAAATGTTATTCGTGATGCTGTCACATACACCGAACACGCCAAGAGGAAGACAGTCACAGCCATGGATGTTGTCTATGCGCTGAAAAGGCAAGGTCGCACACTGTACGGCTTTGGCGGTTAGGAAAGAAGAAAGTATAAAAAGCAACTTACACTCGCACCAATCGGTCCTTTTCAGGACCACCAACATGTTTCCCTAAAAGAGCTTGAAAATATAAAATTCAATATACATTTTTCGCAAACCAAATCGGTATTGGGCATATATTTAGCTGATGTTCAGTATTGGCTACGAAATGATCGAGAAATTTAATTAATTCCGTCTAGTTAAACCATTTGGTTTCGACATTTATGAAAAATTTGAAGCTATCAAAAAGAAGTATTGTGCATATTTCATATTCGAATAAGAATTCGATGTTACAGAAATCTTAGCTAAGCTGCGGTGAAAACTCGCGTGTATTTCAAGGGTACATTGCCAAATTTATAGTTTACATATCAGCAATATTAGCAATATTTCAGCTCAACATATTTGAAACCTTTGGAATATGGAACAGAAACACTAAATGACTAAATGAATGGCGATGACTGTACTTTTCTCAGCGTCTACCATCTGTAAATTTTCCCTTTATTTATTCTTATTATATACATATTATTTAGAATGTTTACGTATGAAAAAAGTCATCTCTTTTGTATAAATTGGTCGTCCTGAAAAGGACGTTTGGTTTCGATTTGCGTAAATTCGTTATTAGTAATTTAAGCCTTCTTTTCGGTCTTCTTGGGCAACAAAACTGCTTGGATGTTAGGCAACACACCGCCCTGGGCAATAGTGACGCCTGAAAGCAGTTTATTCAACTCCTCATCGTTGCGGATGGCCAATTGCAGATGGCGAGGGATAATTCTGGTTTTCTTGTTATCGCGGGCTGCATTACCAGCCAACTCCAAAACTTCAGCGGCCAAGTATTCCATAACAGCCGCCAAGTACACTGGAGCACCGGCACCAACACGCTCGGCATAGTTGCCTTTGCGAAGAAGACGGTGAATACGACCAACGGGGAACTGAAGGCCAGCGCGGTTCGAACGCGACTTTGCCTTTCCCTTAACTTTTCCACCTTTACCACGGCCAGACATTTCTTAAATTCTTTTTTTTTTCACTTTAACACTGCACAAACAAGTATCGAATGCCCAGCCCTCTCAACAATATGACAACTTATACTTTTTTCACTACCTACTTTTTCAGGTAAACGAGGGTGAGTTGTGCTGTTCGCAAACATGAAAACGTTGTACAAAAAAAACCTATAAATGTTAAGCAATTTGTGTGCTTCTGTCAAACATTTGTGAAGTGAGTTAAAGTGAACTTGAGTGAATAATAACAATCATGCCGCCTAAGACAAGTGGAAAGGCAGCCAAAAAGGCTGGCAAAGCCCAGAAGAATATTACCAAGAATGATAAGAAGAAGAAGCGTAAGAGGAAGGAAAGCTACGCCATCTACATTTACAAAGTGCTAAAGCAGGTCCATCCTGACACTGGAATCTCGTCAAAGGCCATGAGCATCATGAATAGCTTTGTGAACGACATTTTTGAGCGTATTGCTGCTGAAGCCTCTCGTTTGGCCCACTACAACAAACGTTCTACGATTACCAGTCGGGAAATCCAAACTGCAGTCCGTCTTCTGTTGCCCGGAGAGTTGGCCAAGCACGCTGTCAGTGAAGGAACAAAGGCAGTTACCAAGTACACTAGCTCCAAGTAAATCTTAGCTTGATGTATGCAGAACACCCAAAAGCAAAAGGCCCTTTTCAGGGCCACAAATCTTTTTTCAAAGAATATGAAATATTTCCATGCTAACAAAATTTCTGATTCTGATTCTGAATAGATTACCTTTAATTCTTATTGTATAAAACTTACTGAAGCAAATATATTTGCTTGCTATTCAAGAAAAACTATAAAATTATCGTTACTCCACAAATATCCCACTACAATTTCCTACGTTTTTATTATGATGAAGTTGGACACGTAAAAACTATTTGACGAAAACAGAAATTAACATCGAATATATTTCAAATATTGCTGCTGACTAAATAGGATCCGTTTCTTTTTATATTACTTTTAACAGCAACAAGAAAGATACAGGTAGAAAAATATTTTTTCTCTTGGATATATAAAATTGTAGTCCTGAAAAGGACTTTGTTTAATAGCAAATTTCATAGTTTTGAAATTTGTTCATACTCTCTCTGAAGAGTATATTTCGATGTGAAATTACTTCTTTGTTGCAGACGCAGTTTTTGCCTTTGGCTTCTTGGCAGCAGCTTTTTTTGGCGACGCAGCCGCGACAACCTTCTTAGGCTTAGCACTGGTGGTCTTAGGTTTGGGAGTTTTTGGCTTTGCTGCGCTTGACTTTGCCTTTGCTGTTGTGGGCTTGGCTTTAATAGTACCAACTTTCTTTGCATCTTTGGCCTTCGCTTTTTCAGCTTTCTTCTTGTCAACACTCTTTTTGGTCACCACAGCCTTCGACAACTTCTTATCAGCGACACCCTTTGGTTTCTTGGTAGCAGATATAGTTTTCTTTTTAGCTGCTGCTGCCGACGAAGTTACCTTCTTGGATTTCTTCTCTACAGAGGACACCTTAGGCTTAGGCTCCTTTTTGGAAGATGCAGACAACTTAAACGAACCAGATGCACCCTTGCCCTTTGTTTGAATCAACTTTCCATTCGCAACTGAATTCTTCAGGTACTTCTTAATGAATGGGGCTAGTTTTTGGGCATCGCACTTGTAAGTGGCACTGATATATTTCTTTATAGCCAAAAGGGATGAGCCACCACGTTCCTTTAAATTTTGTATCGATGCGTCCACCATCTGCTGAGTTGGTGGGTGTGTTGGAGGAGCCGTTGTTTTC